TTTAAAATGACAATTTTAACTCATTCTATCAAAATAGTTCAAAAATTTTAAACAACGAGGATATCAAGAAGTAAAATTCTTTAATTTCCAATTTACTCTTTCAGTTGTGAATGATAATTCTACAATTATCTGTGATGAAATAGTTGTAGAATTCAATGATTAAAAATGTTAAATTGTTATTGAATACTGTATATGTAAGAATTTGATTTGATAATATTTCTAATTATTAAACATAAAACTGAAATAAATGAATAAAAGAATTAATAAAATGAAAATTAATGAATATTAAAATCAATAAAACATATAACAAGAAATAAAGAATAAAATAACAACATAAAATAATGAATAAACACTAATAAATCAACAAACATTAAATATAATTTTTATAAATGTATTAACATTAAATAAGAATAAATTAATTATATTGATTGTTTTATTTATAATTTTATTAATGAAAGAAATGATAAATATGATTAATATAAATGAAATATGAAGTATCTAAATTTCATAATAAAATATAAAATAATAAGAGTTAAGATGAAATACTAAACAAAAGATACCAATAATAAAAAGAAAAGAATAAGAATATACTAAATTGAAATAATTTAAGAATAATTAATGAATAATTTTAAAGATTACTAAAGAATAAAAAAGAAAATATGATGATGATGAGATTAAATCATAAATATGATAAGTTCAAAACACTAAACATAATATAAAAAGAAGAATAAGAAAGTAAATAAAGAAATAAAAGAAATAGAAAGACAATATAAATAAAGAATGATAAAAAGAAGAATTGAAAATATAATAGTGAAATATTTTAAAATAAGAAATAAAGAAAAAGAAATAAAGAAAAAGAAAAGGGATATATAACAATAAAAAAATACAAAAATAAAAGAGAAGGAAAATAAAATCAAATAAACAAGAAGCGGCTGTAGTTTTACGTGTAAAACACTTATTTGTAATTTAATAATTATGAAATACTAAGTTAAATTAATAAGAGTCGTACGATCGAAACCTGCCAGTCGCCAACATTTTTTAAATTAATGAAAAAAAGATATTAATTACAATAAACATAAATAACAAATTTAAACAAAATAGTTTAATGATAGAACTAACTTCTAAATATTAGATTAATTAAATCGAATGTTAATAGGTTTATCTTCATAATTTCTACATTTTAACTCATTATTTATTAAATTGTTGGTTCTTGTTGGTTGTTGGTTGTTATATTTTATATTTCATTTTATTCTTCTATTTCTTATTTATTTCATCATTATATCTTCTTATAAAATTATGTAATTCCTATTTCATTATTTATCATTACATTAATTCTTTTCTTTCTTGAATTTTAATCTAATTCTTTTTTATTTCTATTCTATTTCTTTATATTTCTATTTATTTCTCTATCTTATTTTAATTCTCTTTCATTGTTCTTTTAATTATCTTGAATATTCATTTAAATGTTTTGGATTAAAATGAAATCTTTCATCATTTCTATTAATTCTTCTATTTCATATTTCTATTTTAATACTATCATTTATATCATTAACATATATTGATGTCTTCATTATTTCTTTATATCTTATTTCTTTATTCTTTTCTTTTATATCTCATTGACAGTATTATTAAAACTGTGTTTAATAAAATTATGAATTTCTCTTTAATTAAATAATCCTGGTTTTGAAAGGCATTAACATTATTGATTGTTCTTGAGAATACAACAAATGAGAAGAAACAGAAGAAATATAACTAATTTGAATGAATAGTTTACAAAAATCTTCATTTAATGGGATAATATTATTTAGATTTAATTTGTTAATTTATCATTGAAATAATTCACTCTTCATTATTTCAATTTCTATTTCATTTCTTCAATAAGATTGTATCAATTTATTTCATTCATTATTCATCTTTTCTTTATTCTCTTATTTTCTTTGTTTATTTTCTCTTATTTATTGTTTTATTATACAATTCTTCTACTCTTTTATTGTCTTATTTTTATCTCTTTTTATTTCTTTCATTCTTTCTATTTCTCGTTATTATTTTTCTTCTGCTTTATTTTTAACTGATTTTATTATTTATTATTTTTTATCTATCATATTATTTATTTCATATTAATCTAATCCAATCACATTCTTTTATTTTACATCTCATTGACTTGTTATTCTCTATATTTGTAATTCATTATGTTTTTTATCATTTTCAATACAATTGATAAATTTCATTCTATATATTCATTTATTTTTCATATTTTGTGTAATTTTTTAATTATCTATTCTATCTCCTTTCTTCTTTAAATGAATTATTTTTACTTCATCAATGAGTATTGTTATTTTGAAATTTTATTTAATTTTATTGTTTTATTTCGTTTAAGTATTATTTATTCATTACATTTTCTTCTTCTTTCATTCTTTTTCATCAATTCAAATTTTCTTATTCATTCTACTCAACCTTTTGCATTTAATAAACAGGTAACTATTATTCGTTTCTCAGTATTTATTCTTCTCTTCTTTTGACATGGTTTATTATACTTTTATCATCATTATATTCACTTTTATTGTGTTTTTCTATTTTAACTTTCTTTACTTCTATAATTAGAACATACTATTTCATTGTTATTTCTCATTTTATCTTCAACAACATCTTCAATATTCTCTTTTTTATTTTACTGTTTCTTTTCTTAATATTATCATTTCATTTCTTCATTATTTCTTGAAATACATTAATCCTTGTTCCTTTCTTGTTTTCTCTTTTCAGACATTCAAATAATTTTATTAAATACTCATCTCATTTTTCTTTCATTCACTTTTAAACAACCTGTTTAATGATTTTCATTTTATGTTATTTTGATTTATTCTTATTCAGAGTTTTCTCATTATCATTCATTTCATTTTTCATATATAATTGAGGAGATTTTAAAAATAAAATAGAATATAAAATGATTATATCAACTTTCTATTCTTATTTATTTATCAACTTTCTTCATTACTTCATCTATTTTCTTTATTTATATTCATTTTTATGTTCATTTCTTTTAATGTTCATTCATTATTAATTATTAATTCTTTAACATATCTCTCAAATACAAATATATGTTTGAATAATTTTATCTATATTCTCAATTTCATTATTATTTATTAAGAAGGTATTATTTATTAAGAAGAATTATGCATCAAAGATTATAATTTATTAAAGAAGATGCATATATTATTGTTAGTGTTGTATGTACATTTGAATATAAGGATATTATCAAGGAATGGTATTTGTTTAAAGGGTGTCGAAGATAAAGGAGATGAGCTATAACATTATGATGTGGATATACTCTTCTTAAAACAACAATATAAAGAATGAGAAATATTATATTACTCATTATAATCAAAATAAAAGTCATGCAGCAACTTAAATGATGAACTATTTAAGTCAAGCATGCTTGAAAAAACAATATTTCAATAGAAATAAAGCATGTTGAAGAAACTGATTTGCTCACTTCTCAACATGATGAAAACATAAAAATGAAGTTAATCATAATTGATGTATTTTTCTATTATTCTTGAGATTGGTTTAATTTTGTATTTAGTTTTTGTCAATTCCCAGTCACTATATGTAACACTACCATCATATCTTATTCTTTTCTCTCTTCTCATATATTCAGTTTTTAACTTTACAAATCCATTTTTTACTTCAACAACTTCTGTATATTCCTTCTCTTCAATAACAATTTTTTCATTTTCTAATCCATTTTTGACAACTCTCTCAACATTAATTGGTAATAAACTACATGCCCATGTTAAAAGCATTTCAATTTCTTCTTCAGATCTACTATTATCATCATCTTCATCTGGACATGAATCTACATAAAACATTGGTATTTTAATTATTTCATCTCCTGTTGTTTCTTTAGCTAATTTTTCAAATTCTAGAAGAAACTTCTCTTTCCTTGATTCTATTTGTCTTACTAGTTTCTTTTCTGGTGTACAACAATAACATCTAGTCCATACAATACATACATGTTCCCAAAAATCGGATATTGGAAATATTTTACATATCATTTTTATCGTTGCTGTAAAATTGTAGAGTGGTTTAGCATTAGTAAAATTAAAAACAATAACAATAGCTTCTATTTCTTCTTGTTCTTTAATGTAGCTTATCATTTGGTTCCATTGTCTATCTTTATCTCTACCACCCTCAGAATCATTAAATCCAGGAGTGTCAATTACAAATATATCACTTCTATCATCTTCTCCATAACATCCACTTGTTTCTTGTGTTACTGATTTAGCATCATCACTTGTTTCAAATTTATTGTCTTTCAGAATAAAATTACCAAGTGAACTTTTACCATCACCTGTATTTCCAATCAGAAGTAATTTAGTTTTTTTTACATCATCATGTTGTATTGAATCTTCACTGCTCATTGATTAATATTCAGTTATAATTTGTTTAAATAGTAATTCATGATGAGAAGCTATAATTACCATATATTTTAAATGATGTTTATCATTTTTGTTTACAAAGTGTAGTAAAAATAGAAGTGAAACAACTCCCATTTGAAATTATTACAAAATTATTTTATGTTGAAAATAGTGTTTTAATGTAATGATAGTTATATCGTTTTATAAAATTAGATGAATGTTATTTAAAATTATTGAAAGAGCATAACTTCTTCAAAAATTTTTTTATATTATTTTATCAAAAATGATTTACATCAATATTTAAAATGAGTGATTTGTATTTATATATTTTTCTTTTTGATTCAAATAAATAAACAGTTACAATCGGAGTTAGTTAAATTCATGTTTCAATATTATTTTATAAGACTAAATTTTATAATTTCTTTGTTTGTTTTTTTTTTCAATTTTGTGCATTTATGCTTTATGGGTAAAATTATTAAATTACAAATTTGATTAAACAATAACATGAAAAAAACTGGGGGTAATACTTTGATAGTATAATTATGAAGAACGTTATAAGAATGTTTTTAAATATAATTGATTTTCACTAAAATTGTGTATTTTATGTAATATAAGTTAGTTTGATTCTATATTACCAATAACGTTTTCCTACGTTTGTCAATAAAATGATAATTGTAGATACAAAAAATACTACATAAATCTCACAAAAATACACAACATCAGTTTTATATATTTTCTACTAATTATATTCTCTGCAACACATATTGAAAATTGATTGTTAATGAATTTTAATTTATTATAATTATTCTTATGGTTAGTTGTATTTTATCAATTTAAACTTCAATAAAAATAGTAAGTCATTTATCATCAATTATACTTTATTCTTTTGAAATAACTTTAATATATTCATATAGTTATTATGATTTTTGATTAAAACCAATGGATATAATTTCTTAATTCTCGTGTATTTACAAAATAATAACGTTTTATAAAATTACTATTATATTTTCATTGAAAAATATTTTGGATTATAAACAAAAGTATTATGAAAAAGTATAAATTATACTTCTGGTAAGAGACTATTACTCTTCTTCTGATTCTTCTTCGCTTATTCCAAGAATTTGATTAATTCCAAAACCATCCATAACAAGTTCAAACAATGAACCACTTACATTTCCAAGTAAGTCAAAAAATCCTTTTTTTGATTTTTTTTCATATTGTTTTGGAATTGGTTTGATTTTGTGTTTAGTTTTTGTTAATTCCCACTCACTATAACTAACACTACCATCAAATTTTGTTCTTTTCTCTCTTCTCAAATATTCAATTTTAAATTCTATGTTAGTACCATCATTACTAATAATATGAGGTTCTTCCCTCTCTTCAATAATAACTTTTTCAATTTCTATTCCATTTTTGACAACTCTCTCAACATTAAGAGAAGGTAAACTACATGCCCATGTTAAAAGCATTTCAATTTCTTCTTCAGATCTACTATTATCATCATCTTCATCTGGACATGAATCTACATAAAACATTGGTATTTTAATTATTTCATCTCCTGTTGTTTTTTAGCCAATTCTTTAAATTCTGGAAGAAACTTCTCTTTCTTTGATTCTCTTTGTCTTACTAGTTTCTTTTCTGGTGTGTCACATGAACATTTAGTCCATACAATACATACATGTTCCCAAAAATCGGATATTGGAAATATTTTACATATCATTTTTATCATTGTTTGAATACTGTCTGATAATCTAGGATTAGTAAAATTTAAAATAATAACAATTCCTTTTAATCCTTCTCGTTCTTTAATATAATTCACCATTTCACTCATATGTTGTCTATCTTTATTTATACCACCATTAGAATCATTAAATCCAGGAGTGTCAATTACAAATATATCACTTCTATCATCTTCTCCATAACATCCACTTGTTTCTTGTGTCACCGATTTAGCAGCATCACTTGCTTTAAATTTATTGTCTTTCAGAATAAAATTACCAAGTGAACTTTTACCATCACCTGTATTTCCAATCAGAAGTAATTTAGTTTTTTTTACATCATCATGTTGTATTGAATCTTCACTGCTCATTGATTAATATTCAGTTATAATTTGTTTAAATAGTAATTAAATATGACAAATATTTATTTATAAATTTGTCGAATGATGTTTAATATTAAAAATGCTTTATGTTTATTTGAAATAATCAATTTCAATTCTGTATTGTTAAAATATTCCTCATAACACGTGTTATTTAAACGAAAACAACAACTTTAAATAAAATAATTTTCTAAAATTTCACATAAACATTATTTTAGTCATCTATTGTAACGTAACTTTTCTATTACTGAAACAAAGTATTTTTATTTGTCTCTATTTTTACATTAAAAATATTCTTTTCTGTTTAACAGAATAAAAATAATCAAAAATAAATGAAGAATTTTATCGATAATTTAACATGACATTTTGTTTTATTTTCTGGTTTGAAATACAAACATCATTTTAATATGCACAAACAACTTTTGATAGGATATTTAAAAACAAAATAAATTAATTTCACATAATTTTTGAAAATTGACTATTTTTATAATGTTTATTTTACAATAAAATCACACCCCCTTTTTATTTTTTTATCACAACAATACATTTATGTTTTTATTGAAATAGTTGTTATAACGTTTAATGAAGATAATGTTATTAAAGAATGAAAATGAAATAATAATATGAGAAGTATCATTTTTACATATACTTCAATTTATAATTAATGTTTTATTTCATTTTCAATAAACAACAAATGTTATAAAATACGATTATTTTTCTCATAATAATTACTATCTCACTTTTATTTAAATTACATATCAAACAGAATAACATCTCCGATTCTAGATGCAATAAATTTATGTTTTTATTGTGTTGAAGAAATAGTTTGATAAGTAATATCAAATCATTTTAAACTCATTTCTATTTCATATAACCTTTAAATTTCCATAAAAATTGATTTTTATTGTTTCCAAAATAAAATAAAAAATAAGTAAAAAGTAAATTGAGAGTTATTTACTCTTCGGGGTAGAGTGAAATACCCTGCTAATACTCATAATTCCAGAAATCACAAGCTCAAACAATTTATTTCCATACCTAAGTAAAACCTCTGTAAGTTCTTCTTTTGAATTATTGGCATATTTTTTTGGAAGTGGTTTTTCTTCAACTTTCCTGTCTATTATTTCCCAATCAGTATAGCTTACTTTTTTGTTATGTCCAATTCTTTTCTCCCTTCTCTTCTTTTCAACTTTGCACTTAGCACAACCATCTACTACATCTATAATTTCCCAATCTTCCTTTTCTTCTACAACAACTGTTTTAAATTCAGTACTTTCTTTCATAACTTTCTCAATTGGCTTAATTGGTAATAAACTACGAGCCCATGCTAAAAAAGTTTCAATTTCTTTATCCGTTCTACTATTATCTTCACCTTCATCTGGTTGAGAATCAACAAAGAACATGGGGAAAGCAACACCTTCTTTTCCAGTAGTTTCTTTAGCAATTCTTGTCAATTGTTCTTGATACTGTTTGTTTTTGATTTCCATTTGTTTTTCCAATTTCTTCTCAGTAGTGTAATAAAAACACTTAGTCCATACAATACAAACATGTTCCCAGAAGTCAAAAACTGGAAATTCATTGTACAACTTTTTAATCAATGATTCAAGATTATCCAAAAATTCAACGCTGTTATAATTCAAAACAAGAATAATACCATCTACTCCTTTTTGTTCCTTAACGAAGCTTATCATTTGGTTCAACTGATTTTCAACCATTTCACTTGAGTCTGGAAGACCAGGAGTGTCAATAACAAATATATCACTTCTATCATCTTCTCCATAAAATCCCATTGTTGGTTTAACCACTGGATTTGGGTTGTCATTGACATCAAAAGCATTCTTCTTCAAAATAAAATTACCAAGTGAACTTTTACCATCACCTGTTCCTCCAATTAAAAGTAGCTTAGTCTTTTTACCTTCTATATTTGTCGGTACGCTCATTGTATATTTTAGTTATTACTCAACTCCTTTAAATATTTCACAATTGTTATAACTACAAAATTAATTTTTATTTTAGGAATGATGTTTGTCATTTTTTTACCGTTTAATGTAAAAATAAGTATAATGACGAATCATAATCATAACCATCGTATTTTAAAAATGGGAAAACAAACATACCCCTTTTATTTTATTTATATGTAAATAATTTATATCGAATAATTTTAGAACAATTAGTTTGCAACAACAGAATAATTATTGACAAATAAATAATTTTATAACATTTACATCGTATTTCTTTCATTTAATTTACATAAACCCTCTTTGGTTTCATCGAAACCAATTATTTTATTTCAAAAATGTGTTTATATTTATCATTTATTTTCACAAACTAACATTTACTCAAGTTATTTATGGAAACTAATAAACAAAAACAGGTATAAACAATTTTTAATTTATTCATTTGTTTTATTTTAAAAATAGAAGAAAAGTCAAAAACAATAAACAGTTAAAATTGAATTTGATTTTTTTCCATTTACTATTCTTTTGATTTAAATAAAAATTGGTAATGAAATAATTCAACACGATTTATTGGAAACAAACTATGTTAATTGAATATATTAATTATTTACATTAAAATACAAAAAGTATAGTTATTATATTTTTATCTCATTACTATAAGTTTGACTCTTTATGTTTGATAACTGTATTTACACTTCAAATGACTTTTGTTTTATTCTTTCATTTGTCAGTTGTTCTTAGTGCTAACTTACTGCATTATTCCTTGTTTTAGTTTTTAACAATGATACTTTACTTTTTGATTATTTTTCAAAAAGGCGTTAATTGAAATGAATATCTTTCATTTTTCTTAACCTTTCATGATAATATATATTATATTAATTACATTTTTGTTTAAGTGGTTAAGTTAAATGTTTATAAGATATTTCATATTTTTATAATAAGTCTTGCTT